TATCAGGTCATCTTTGAATATCCTGTTGTGACACATTAATATCCTGTTGCATACGTCAGCCTGTATAATGAGAGTAACCTCTTTAGCAGTGGCAAATAGCGGATGGATGGATGGATGGATGGATGGATGGATGGATGGATGGATGGATGGATGGATGGATGGATGGATGGATGGATGGATGGATGGATGGATGGATGGATGGATGGATGGATATTACTCTTACTGCACAAATTATAAAATAATCCCAGTAAGATGGAGATATAAAACCAGTCCTGACTGAGGATGCTTTCCCTTTAAAGATATTTGTTTTCTTATTTCTCTCTTTTCAAACTACATATTATTCCATTACAGTAGCAAAACTAGAAAGAAAATTTCACCTGTGCATATGGAGGGCATATAAGGGCTAATGCTATGTCACTAACAGTTCAAAAGTGTGGCACACCTCAATGGCATTTTAAAAAATAGGTATCTATGGCAAGCAGAAACTCAGTCCTGCTACAATGGGAATTTTGTGGGCAGGGAAAGAGGAATTGGAACAGAGTGGATGAAGATGGACGAGGCAGCTACAGAGGGTTCATGGACTTGTCACTGTCTGGAGAAGTCAAGAAATGTTTCAGGTTTGTGTACCAGTAGTGGCCTCATCCAGAGGAGTCAGACCTGTCCTCTGTTACTCCAAGTTACCTCTCAGCTGGATTGCTGACTGCGTTCTACCTTTGGAAAAGGATCTTCACGGGAGTTCAACCATCAGTGTCCCAAAGCTAACGGGGTTGGCAGAAAGGTTAAACATGGGACACAGTTTGTGTACCAGTTCATTGTTGGTCAATTCACTTGTGGGCCCAGTTCAAAGTGCTGGTGTAAAATCATCAAAGTCTTGAGTAGCTTGGGGCCAGCTTACCTGAAAAACCTCGTTCACTCACACGCTCATGCATTCATTGAATCTTTGTGGGAGAAATAGGCAAGAGAAATATTTCTGAAAGGTTCTTACCAAGAATATTAAGGGAAGCAGGATGGTACCATTTCTTTTTAGAGAAATCATTTTCAAGGATGCCATAAAGCCTTGCTCCATATGAACCGTCGTCACTCTTCTGAAGCTGGGAAATCTTCAAGCTGCAATTTCTTTCACTTAAATTACCAGCAAATGTCGCGCGTTCTTGTAAACCTGCTATTGTTGGGATCACGTGCTTTTGGGAGGTCCTAGAGCTATTGTACAAGATGGTGCCAGTATACTCTTTGCCATCATAAGAAGGGTCAAAATACCAGATCAGGGAGATGTTATTAAGACGACGACCACTGTATGTATACTTGATCTGGCATGGAATCAATATACAGGATCCTTTCCAACCAGCCAGATAATGGGGCTCTATGGTCAATGTCTTTTCATTCGTACAAAGACAACCTGCAATGAAAGAACAAACAAAATATTTTAGGCTGTTCCCATGATCTCCACCATCTGAACAAATGATTAGTTATTTTTCTCTTCTGTTTCTCATTTTAACACACCCTTATCCACTCACACATTCCTCTTCATACTGGGAACAACCTATTGAAAATTGGCAGAGGAAGGGGGGGAGATTTTGGAGCCAGATTTGCCAAAATTTGCAAACTTCTCTTTTGAATGAAAAGAATGTGAGGGCTTTTGTTTTGATTTGTTTTCTTTTAAGAAAATGAATGTGGAGGAAAGTGAGACAGATTTTTTCCTTCATGTCCCAGGATTGATGACCCGGTGGCTTGTGGCTTGTTATCAGATTTGAGATATTTGTTACAAACTGGATTCTTTCCTGTCTCTTCATCCCCAGCAAAGCTTTGAACAATCCAACCAGAAGCCCCAGTCACTTCTCCCCCACCCTTGACATTTAGTCCAGTCGTGTCCGACTCTAGGGAGTGGTGCTCATCCTCGTTCCCAAGCCATAGAGCCAGTGTTTTTGTCCGAAGACAATCTTCCATGGTCACATGGCCAGTGCGACTTAGACACGGAACGCCGTTACCTTCCCACCGAGGTGGTACCTATTTATCTACTCGCATTTTCACATGCTTTCGAACTGCTAGGTTGGCAGGAGCTGGGACAAGCGATGGGAGCTCACTCTGTCATGTGGACTCGACATTATGACAGCTGGTCTCCTGACCTTGCAGCACAGAGGCTTTATTTATTTTATTTATTTATTTATTGTATTTATACCCCGCCTATCTAGTCATTTCGACCACTCTAGGCGGCAGCCGTCACGTCCCACCTCTCCCAGCCCCAATCCAATTGGTGTTGTATGCTTTACCATCCAGGAAGAGGAGCAGAAAGAAACACCTCATGGTGGATTCGTGCAAGAGCTGAACCTGAGAAGAGGGAGAGAGAAAAAGAGCCATCAGTTTCTCTCTGTCATTTTTCATAATTCCTATGTCATTGACCAAACAGTGGGAATGTGAACGGGTAAGTACTTCATAAAAGAGTCTACAGCTCAAACTTGCACAGTTGGTGGAAGAAAGCTGGTGCCACAGTTTCCATCCCTATACATCCAGCTTCTTCTACCACAAAGCTCCATTCAACTCCATCTTCAGAATGGGACTGATAGCCAGTCTCGACTTCCCAGATATCTTCCCTTAACCAATTCATTCTTCCTTTTAAAAAGGCACATGCACACTAAATTGAAGAAGGATTGTGGTTCAGTGGTAGGACTCACCTGTCTTACATGTGAGTTCTGTTGGAGGTATTACTATCTTGCATGCTGCCTGGAAAAGGTATGACTGGGAGGGTCCTTTCTGGGATGGAGGGGTTGTCAATGACTAACAGCACTGACCAATAGTTCCCTCCCTGACTCTGATTCAAAGAGAGTGCTTCTTTTTTTGCTCTGCCCTTTCCCCCCTCTCTGTTGAGATAGACCGAGACAGCTTTTCAGGTTCTCAAGTGCCAGGAAGAACGTTGTCTCTCATGTGCGGGAATGCATTTGCCGAGGGTACAGCAGAGGGCCTCCTCTGTTGCTGTTCCCAGACTTTGGAACTCCCTCCCACAGAAGACCAGACTGGCCCCATCTTTGCCATCCTTCCCCCATCTTTGCCGTCCTTCCACAAACAAGAGAAGACTTTTTCCTTCAGGCAGGCTTTCCCTGTGTGACCATCTGCCTGACTGGATTGCTTCAAAGGATGTTTGTCCCTCCCTGTTTTGAATGCGTTTTTGCTGTTGCTTTCGTTTACTGCCTTTTAGAGTGGCATTTGTTTGATCCTTTTTAGTGTCTGCGCACTTACAGTTTTTAGCTGTAAATACTGTCTTTTAATTATGTAAGTCCTCTTGGATCCCTCTTAAGGAGAAAAGCAGGGTAGAATACGTTGCATGAAAAGCTCCCATTCTCCAGCTGAAGAGCTGTCCAAGGAGGCTTCTCTTTCAAAAGGCAGCCCCACTGGAAAATGGTCTGGTCTGAATTCCAGATTATAAATACTGTATTTTTCGCACCATAAGACGCACTTTTTTCCCACAAAACGGGGTGGAAAGTCTGTGCGTCTTATGGAGCGAAGAAAACAGATTATATTTTCCTGTTTTCTTCTCCTAAAAAATTGGTGTGTCTTATGGAAAGGTGCATCTTATGGTCCGAAAAATGCAGTAAATAAAAGAGAAAGCCTTGTTAGCTTCTAGCCCCAACGAGCCGACTGAGCTCTGATGAAGCACACAGAGCATCAGTACACAGTCTGCCCACCCCAATGCCATGGTGAGATATATACTGTGTTTCTAATTAAATTGCAATAATTATTCCTAAATGTGGATCTGTATATACACCCAAACATGCAAACATCAAACCCTTATAAGCCACATTTTCTGAATCACATCTGTGACTAAAAACGAGCAGGCATTTTTTAAGGCCTTGGTTCTTATTCAGTCAGACTGGGTCCTTCTTCTATGACATTAGTGCGCAGAAAAATTGCTGGTGGTTTTTCCCCCAGCCTAAGTATTCCCATGCCCCCAGGAGAAGAACATGGCTGACTTCGAGGGGTCGTGTTTGCTGCTCTGTCTCAGGCAGCAAAATGCCTTGGACCTTGGTGAGGCCGTGTGGTCGTGCAGCAAAATAGCCATGCAAGTGAGGCCTGTCAAGCCTTCTCATTACTTGCAGCTTACTCTTTGTTTTTTTTCCCCTCCTGTCTTTTACTTCCCCTATGAAGGAGTGAAAAGAGATAGATAGAGGTGTGTCCCTGGAAGTAACAGTAGTAGCAATCCTATTTAGATTTCTATCCTAATTTTCTCCCAAGGAGCTCATGCTAGACTACATGGATCTTTTGATCCTCTGCCTTGCTTTATCCTTACAGCACGTTTGCCTTTAAGGTTAGACTGAGAGGTAATTCCTGAAGACAAGTCATTCATACTTCAGGGGGTAACTGAACCCTGACAGGTCATTCTAGCGCTGTGTCACCCAACTCTAAACACCAGTGGTTCCCAACCATGGGTGCCCAGATGTTCCTGGACTGAAACTCCTGGAAAACTTCACCACTAGCTATTCTGGTCAGGATTTCTGGGAGTTGTAGTCCAAGAACATCTGACCCAAGGATAGGAACTAGTGCTCTAAACTAGTGCTTAAGATCAGATAGCCCTGGCTCCTCTTTTTATGTCTTATTTACTGTATATTTCTGCATATTATTTTAAGAGCACCAACACAAAACAATAATTCAGATTTAAGTGCTCTAAACATTGCACCACACTGACTTTCCAGAGAAGAAACGGACACGAGGGGAGCCCAGTGCTTTGAAGATCAGATAGCCCTGGCTCCTCTCATTTACTGTATATTTCTGCATAATATTTTAAGAGCACGGACACAAAACAATAATTCAGATTTAAAGTACGCAGATTTGTGTTTTCAGACTGTAGCCCCTAGGCAACGTAGCACACCTCTCGTTCAAATAAAAACAATAATGTGTCCAACAATAACAGCATGAAAAAAACCTATTGCAGTATTACAACCTAACTTAAATCGATTGAGCAGAGGGAATGCCATTTTCATTGGGTAGCTGAAACCAAAATAACAGGATCTCATGAACTATACAGAACTCAGGCAGTCTCCTGAAACAGCCACAGAATCTCCCGACAAAAGCCAAATCAAGTAAGGCTACCTGTAGGAATACAGACTCTTTCTCCCCTCAGCTGTGCCATCTGGTCGGAAGCTAAAAGGGAGCTAACAGTATCTATGGAAAGAGTACCTTGTTAGAAATGAGCACAAGCCCTACCTGGAATTTCTATTAAGCTATCCCAGGCTGGTCTTCTGGAAGTCCAAAGATCAGTAACTAAAGATCTACATACTTCTAAAGGCCCGACAACTCTGGCAGGGAGTTGTTTGTTTCCACGCTAAGCAGGAAGGAGAGTCTCCTGAGTGCGTAGGCTTCAGTTGCTTCAAGGCTGACTGAGTCTCTGTGGTTAAGGGTGAGGTATTTTAGGGTAGAGCTGATGCCCACCCCAAGAGATGTTGGCGGGAGAGCAAAGGGTTTGTGATGCATGGCAGGCCAGCAAGAACGCCTGCCTGTAGATGGCCCAGGCCTGCCATGGTGTGGGTGGATGCCTGGTGAGAGGTTCACCAGGTCTGAGAGTGTAAGGTAAAATCTCAGTTGTGATCTCGCATGGGTTTGCCGGCAGGGAGATGGATCTCAGGACAAGCAGTGCTGAAGAAGGAGAAAGATTGCCATCTTAGGCAAGACAATGAGGGGAGCACTGTCGTTGAAACTCATGAGACTTCTTGTTGCCCAAGACCTTGTAAAGTGGTGTAGAGCTTGAGGGAAAGGAAACCTTATTGGGGTTCATTTTTTAAATTCCATTCCATTTTTTAATCTCAGAGATTTTTTTACATTTTACCCCAGCAGGGAGTCCCTCTGAGACAGCTATTGAGTGTGAGAGATGAAGATGGAGACAATGCAAATGCTGAGCAGTGGGGGCTTTATTCCCTCCTACATGACAATTTCCTGTAAGAGAAGGTCTCTCCGTCCTTCGCTGCTAGTGCCTGAGGTATGATCCTCTGCAGGATTATTGTGTGTTTCTGCTAAAGGTATCAATTTCCATCTCCTGTGTTGGTCAGTTTCAAATAGGTGTCAGCAGAGGAGCCTGACATTGTCAAAGGGTGTTGGTAAGGAATCCTGCAGAAAATGCCATCAATTCCTGGGAAGCATCCAAGGAGTTATGTCCATGATTTTGTGGTGAAAAACCAAGGACACTTTTTCTGTCCAAAATATCCAAGAGGAGGTAAGAAGAAGGGAGAAACTTACACTGGAAACTGTGGGAGTGAGAAGCATCTAGCTTCACAAGCAGAGATGGGGACGACTCAACATTTTGGCGAGTCGTCCTGCTTCATGATGCATCAAAGTTGACAAAGCTCCCCCCCCCATGAACCGACGAAAAATGAATTTATTCGTAGGTTGGGAGGATTAGACAGGAGAAAAAACTCTTCCTACCATGAACCGATGAAGCATGAATTTATTCATAGGTTTGGGGGGGGTAGACAGGGGGAAAACCTCTTCCTATGGGGAAATATTCATCCCTTCATATTTGTCAGGGTCTCTGGAACTGACGGATATGAAGGGATGAATATTTAACGAATCAGAGATTTTTCACGAATATCGCAATCCATTTTTTTATTCGTCCCCATGTCTTAGTTTGTAGTGGTTTCTGGGAATGTTATTGGCTGATATCTATCGGGGTCCAAGGCAGCATTTCCGGAGAGAAGAGACTGCAAATTAATTTGTAAGACCCTGCTTCTCATATGGAATTTGCAAACTCCAACCTGCTTTGTTGGCCATCTGATTTCTACAATAGTGGGCAGCATATCTGCTGTTGCAAGCCGCCTAGCACGGAGAGAAGAGACTGCAAATTAATTTGTAAGACCCTGCTTCTCACGTGGACTTTGCAAACTCCAACCTGCTTTGTTAGCCATCTGGTTTCTACAATAGTGGGCACCATATCTGGACATTTTCAAATTCTTTTTTTTTTCACATTCAGTGTTATACCCTAGTTACTGAGAACTTCTGGATAACTTGAGAGCTTGTCCTTTGTCTGTCTGTCTGTCTGTCTGTCTGTCTGTCTGTCTGTCTGTCTGTCTGTCTGTCAGTCAGTCAGTCAGTCAGTCAGTCAGTCTCTGTGGGAATGGACCCGATCCCCCTGCTGGCAGGAGTGGAATCTCCACCCCACCAAGAGTAGGAACAAGATTCCCAACCTTCAGTTCACTTGTGGACTGTGGTGTGGACAGCACCAATGCCTTGGAAGCCTGCATACATCGCCCTTGCTGTGGGTCTCCATGTTTGGCTCACCTGGGGAAAGTATTGGAACTAACAGAGGAACCAGGATCTGCTCCTCCCAGTAAATGACTCTGGTGGACTGTTTCTATTAAGTTCCACTGTTCTGGAGTACAGTTAACTCCCAGACCTCATAAAAGTTTTCAAGCTTGTGGCCATGTTCGCTAATTCAGAGTTGAGTTGCCCTAATAAAGGAGCTTGTTTTTGCAAATACTTTGTCAGGATGAAAGGGGGCATGGGGTGCTCACAATTGCCTTCCTCTCAATTGTGAGACCATGAGAGTTCACATTTTTTATTGGAAAACAAACCAACAACACCCACAATAAATCCTGCCATTAAAAAACAATTGAACACATAACAGCATTAAAAGAATGGGTTAAAACAATTAAAAACACATTTAGAAGACTTATTAGTATTCAGATGGTCTATATCCAGATAGAATATATCAGATGAAAGTATACACAAGATTACAAAATCGCCCATATAGTTGTTAAAACCCTGTCTAAAAAGGGTGGCCTTCCTTGAATCTTTTAAGCAAGATAATCAAGTTATAGCTCAATTTGGGAATTTCTCCTGCAACAATAAGGGCTGGAAACTTAACTTTCACCACTGAAAAAAGGAAAATTAAGGAGTGAGTTCCACTATGAGCATTATGTCTGTATCTATGGGCAATACATAACAATCAGAAGAGAAAGCTATTTGAGTTGCTATTGTTTTATTTCCAAGGATACGGATAGACAATTCAGACCAGATGAGGCAACCCACCCCCAAATGAGCCACGAAAGAACACATTACCTGCAGTTGCTGAGGCTCTGAAAACAGTTCGGCTTACAAAGTGGGCATAAAGGAACAGACCAGTAGAGGTACCATCTCCAGAAAATGAAAGAGGAAGCATTAGATGTGCTGTTGTTTCTAATTTCAGTTCTAATAGCAGGGAAAGGGGGAAAGATGAAGTTTAGAACAGGAAGGGGATGTTACCAGCCTTGAAATCATTTGCATGGCTTACAACAAGAATCTTTCTTCGGAACATGACTTTTGCTGGCAGCGGTCCAATGGAGGGTCTTGGCTTCTTTTAAAAAAGGAGAGAATGCTAATAAAATGCAAGCAGTTATGATGAACTCTGGTGAAGGAACCTCGCATGTCCTCCAGGGATGGCAGTGGACGGTGATGTGTCTCTTTGAAATCAGTACAGGGACCATTGCCTTTTTCTGAGGGACCCACTCTCAAGAGAAGTCAAGTTACTGTATGTCAGAGGAGCAGATCTTGCGATCCCCCATAAAAGCAATAAGATTCTATTCTTTTCCAGATCTTTTTTATTTTTGTAGGTTGTCTATTGAGGTTTTGGAGGCTATAGCCATGTTAGTGTGTCCATGTTGAAGGTAACCTCTGAGCAAGTAACTGCACTGTTTTATTTATGATGAGCGGAAACAGCTTCAAATCCTCTCTCCTTAAAACAGGGTCATCCCTTCCTTTTTTGCTGCCTGATGTCCAGCAGCAAACATCCTCACCCCCATCACCCCATGCTTCACGGGGCATAACACACACAGCCAGTCACGTTAATCTCCACATCAGGCAGGAAATCCCTCAAACACGTTTCTTCATGTCTGAATTAAAACACATTAATTTAAATTAACCAATCAAAACAATTGGCTGCCCATCCATGACATTCCCATTCTGCAGCCCGGGGCAGGTTCCTCACTCTGCCTAAAGGTAGAGCCAGACCTTGTTTAAAAAATGGATTCTGCCCTGAACCTCTTCAACAGGAAGATCTGGGCTGCAGCATAGAAGGATTCATGGAATGGGATTCCTCACGATGGCCAAGTTGGGACAAAAGAAGAAGAATACACCATAAACATCCACATCACATCCGTTTTTGAAACAAGGAGCTCTTTAATGACATTTTAGCAAACAATGATCATTTATCCGAAAGAACAATATGTTAGAACAATAGAACAGTGAAAACCTGGATGAAAAGGGAGGCAGAAAAATGAAAATGGGTGGGAGCTGAGTTAGGGTCCCTCTTCTTGCTCTTCCTCTCTTGCCTCTTCTTTCTTCATCCATCAGACATACTCAGCCTCAGTTTTAGGGCCCTGATCCTTGGCTTTGCTCTTGAAAGTTAGACTGCAAACTTGCTAATTCCAGACACCAGCTGTCGGAAGGCAATAAGAAAGAGATGTTCTGAGGGGAAAAGAATAAAGAAATAAGCATTTTTGTTAGTAAACGTGGCCGGCCCGAACATCAGACAGGAGGGCAAAGCAGCCCATTTTGGACAGCAACCAATTGCTGACCAATGTCAAGATGTCAAGCACCCTCTAACCAGGGAGTCATGCAGCTTGTTGTCAAATCCAAGTCAAGGCAGACAGGCAACGCAACTCAAACTTGACTCAGGGGTTTCTTTCAATGACTCAAGACTCAATCAGCGACTCAGAACCATTTTTCCCAGTTACTTTGTAAAGTCCCAACTCTCTGCTAGGCTCCCCGCCTCCAACCAGCCAATAACCCTCCTTGCTCCCGTTGCCCCCATGTCACCCTCCAGGCCCGGAAAGGAAGGCGGGCAAGGCCGCCATCTCTGTGCAGATCATTCCAGATGGCAACAAATTTCTGACTACTCTCAAGACTCCAAACACCCTCCAGTACTAGAAACTGAGCTGTGTGGAGAACCATATTCTTCCATACACACCTGATCTTCGTGGTTGACTTTCTCTTGTTCCTATTGTCACCAGAGGCAAATTTTGTAGAGACATTAGAGGGCGGGGGTTCTTGCTGTCTTCCCCTAGGCTGTGGAACTCCCTGCTCTAGGATACTAGGAAGGTCTCCTCTCTGTTGCTGGAATTCTGCTGAGTTTCATCCCCCTGTAATCCTGGTGGCTTTGAACTATTCATATTGACATGGTTTTCCATATTGCTATTCATTGCCTTGGTTAGCTATGCCAGTTGTACTCATCCTATGAATCCCTTCTTGACTCAAGTGGAGAAGCTAGTGACCTATGTTCTCAAACTCACCTAAGATGTGCAGGTGGGGCAACCTGAAGGCCCCAACTTCGTCCCTCACCTCTTCCTTTCCCGACCAACACCATCTGTTACTTACAATGGATATTCAGAGTGACAACAGAAGACGTTGAGTGGCCGATGGGATTGTAGGCTTTGCAATAATAACCACCAGAATTGTTGGGCTGGATCATTGGAAAGTGCAGCTCTGTTTGGGAGCTGATGATGTCCAAGGCAGGGCATTTATACCATTCGTAATGCGTGATCGGGGGATTGGCTGTGGACCAACAATGCAAAGCGACGTCTTCTTTTCCGGTCCTGCTTGAGAAGGCGATTTTGGGCTCGTCTGGTGGATCTAAGAGAGAGGAACCAGAACTAAAAGAAAAGAACTCCAATTTATGGTATTTTATCATATTATATTTTGGCTCATTTCCAGCAAGGCAAAACACATGTGTTCGAAATATGTATCAAACTGTGTGAAATGTGCTGGGGAGTTCTGAATTTCAGGTAAAATTCCTTTTGCTATGCAGTAGACATTTGTAGGAGAAAGAATAAAAAGCATTTTGTTACTTCCAGTTGCTTGAAATTGGAGGAGTGTGTATGCTGCATCCATACTTTGCAACCAAATGAATTGATCCATAGCAAACAAACAACTGCCAACAACCCAAGAAAGAGAGGGAAAATAATAGCAGAAAGGTGGGACTCTCTTTGAATTACCTTCCAGTCAAATAAACTACTGGCTCTACTCGAGGAAGGAAAAAAAAAACCAACAAAATGGAGGCAAAGTAGGAGATGATGCCATAAAGAAACTTCCTAAAAGCTGTTGATTAACTAAAAGCCGTTGACTAGCAATGCAGGTGATTTGTTTCATGGCACAAACAGGTTCTCCTTGGAGGTCATGGGGAAAGGCAATATGAGCAGGACATTGGTCCCTTCCAATTGACTATGTTGAGCAAGGCTTCTAGGAACAGGTGTTTAAAACATCTGGAGGGACAAAGAGTCTTGTATAAAATGAGAAAATTCAAATGTTGGAAACAAGAGTTAAGCTAGGCATGATAGTAACCTTGTGTAGAAAGCTTTATGGCAGACAAATATCAGCAAACTTGACAAACATCCCCTTCTAGAGGCAGTTAATTGCATTGCAAGTGAAGTTCACATAGTCATGAACTACAGACATGCCATCTTCAAAGTAGTAATTTAGGAAGCCGGATTGCAAAGAAGACACTGCTTTATCTCCATCCATTTGCTTAAGGCTGCTAACCTTCCGTAACCTTTAATGCCAATAAAGCTTTGTATGCAACATATGCATCTTCAAAAATATACATCTTCAATGCATTCACACACAACGATGCAACTAGTTGGGTTTTGACCATTTAGATCTGATTTCCTCCTGTAATCCCAAAGAATGATGCCATTGTGTCTCACTACACTGTTTGAGCAATGTGATCTCTTTATTATGTGACTTTCAAAAAAGGAAACTTGTTGTGAATGAATTCACACTGAAGAAGTCTGATCCTTCTCAGGAACCAAGGGAGTGCAACTGATGTGATTTCTCCTTGTACTTGTTGCAAGCTGACCCATTTTCATGCTTTTTTTAAAAAAAAATCCCCTGGCATTTATTTCCTTTTATAGATATTGCATTTTGCTTGATTTTAGTACTTGAGGTAAAGGTATGGAATTTCAATCTGGAACTTAAATCTAATTTTTAAACATTTGCATTTCTTTCCCCTTGCTGTTTTGATATGGTTTCTTTCAACATTGTAAACGGCCTTGGGGGTTCTTGAAAAATCAGTAAAAATAATAATATTAATAATTAATAATTTGTATTTTTAATAAATAGATGTGTATTAACTAATTCTTAATTAATTCATACCTGTTTGTTCGCTTGGCCTGTGACCTTTGTTTAAAGAACTAGAGTGTGAAATGCAACCCACATCTGCCTCAGCCTGCATATTAAAACAACAACCTTCCTTGTGGCGCAGTGGTTAAACCGCTGGACTGCAGCTAAAAACTGTGCTCACGACCTGGGGTTCAA